CTTGCCAAGAAATTAACCTCTCTTACTCCATTTAAGTATTTTGTCTTTCATCAGATTCACAATTAAGTAATCTTAACTAATTTAAGGCAAAAATTTCCCATAAATAATTCAGCACTGTTATACTCATCATGTCCAGAAAAAGTGATAAAGCCCACTAGCGGGTATTTTAGTAATCTTTCATCTTCAGAGTTCTTTTTAGATAAAAGACATGACTGAATTTATCAATGTAATATCAAATTCTCTTTTTCCTTATAAGATCCCTTCAGTGATTTATAATAAGCCAATTTTTTTTTTTACAAATAGTTTATTGTCAAATTAGTTTCCACATAACACTCAGTGCTCATCCCCATAATAAGCCAATTATATAGCTTAAAAACTGAAAGCAAATAGAATTAAGGTTAAGTAAGAATGAAAAACTCTATATAGGTAAAATTGAGAGCATTCATAGAAAAAATATGATAATCTTTGGAAATGTCAAAGAAGCTTCTGGTTTATTTAAACAAATGGATTATATTGTATATTTTTCTATAACATTATAGTTCTATTTGTCTTTAGGTAGATAAAAAGCTAGGAAAATCCTAGCATAAAACTGTAGACCAATAGGGAGACGGTGATAGAAAGGTGTTGAGGCCAGATTGTAATACTTGAGGCTGTCTTCCTTTAAGGCACAGTTCCCACTAAAGCAATATGGAGGAGAAAATATAAAAAGACCATAGGCATCTATCCAACAAGAAGATCTAATAATTATAAACATTTATGCACCCAAACTTGGAAATACCCAAATATAGAAATCAATTAATAACACACTTAAAGAAACTCATTGATAAAAATATAATAATAGTAGAGGACTTTAACACCCCACTTAGAGCAATGCATTGTCTAAACAGAAGATCAACAAGGGAACAATGGATCTGTTGTGTTAAGTTTATTTATTTATTTATTTTGAGAGAGAGATAGTGCATGAGCCCAAGGGGCAGAGAGAAAGGGAAAGAGAGAATCTCAAGCCCCAGTGCAGGGCCTGAACTCTTGAGATCATGACTTGAGCTGAAATCAAGAGTCGGACATCTAACTGACTGAGCCACTCGAGCACCTTGGAGGCAATGGCTTTGAATGACACTTTGGACCAGATGGACTTAACGGATACATTCAGAGTATTTTGTCCTAAAACAGCAGAATATTTATTCTCTTCAAGTGCACGTGGAACATTGTACAGAATATTTACTGTGTCACAAATCAGAGCTCAACCAGTACAAAAAGACTGAGATCATACCATGCATATTTTCAGACAACAAAGCTATAAGACTTCAAGTCAACCACAAGAAAAAAAAAAAAAAAAAAGAAGAGAGATCAGAAATACATGGAGATTAAAGAATACCCTACTAAAGAATGAATGAAGTTGAGTTGCCTGGGTGGCTCAATCAGTTAAGTGTCTAACTCTTGACTTTGGCTCAGGTCATAATCCCATGCTTCATGGGACTGAGTACACAGAGCACACAGAGCCTGCTTGGGATTCTCTCTTTCCCTCTCTCTCTCTGCTTATCCTCTGCTCGTCTGTCTCTCTCTTTCTCAATTAAAAAAAAAAAAAAGAAGAAGAAGAATGAATGGGTTAACCAAGAAATTATATATATAAATGAAAATGAAAACACAACAGTCCCAAACCTTTGGGATGTAGCAAAGGCAGTCATAACAGGAAGTATATAGCAATCCAAGCCTTCCTCAAGAAAGCATAAAAATCTCAAATACACAACGTAACCTTACTTCTAAAAGAGCTAGAAAAAGAACAGCAAATAAAGCCTAAAACCTGCAGAAGAAGGAAAAAAATGAAGATTAAGGCAGAAATAAATGATATACAAATTAAAAAACAACAACAACAACAACAATAACTAACAGTAGATCAGATCAACAAAACTAGGGGCTGATCCTTTGAAAGAATTAACAAAACTGATAAACCCCTCGCTAGCCTTATCAAGAAGAAAAGAGAAAGGACCCAAAATAAATAAAATCACTAATGAAAGAGAGAGAGATCACTACCAATACCACAGAACCATAAACGATGGTAAAAGAAGATTATGATCAATTATATGCTAACAAATTGGGCAATCTGGAAGAAATGAATAAATTTCTAGAAATATATAAACTACCAAAACTGAAACAGGAAGAAATAGAAAATTTGAACAGACCCACAGCAAAGAAATTGAATCAGTAATCAAACATCTCCAATCAAAACAGAGTACTGGGCCAGATGATGTCACAGGGGAATTCTACCAAACATTTAAAGAATAACTAATACCCATTATTTCTGAATCTGTTAAAAAAATAAAATTGAAGGAAAACTTTCAAACTCATTCTATGAGGCCAGCATTACCTTGATTCAAAAATCAGACAAAGACCCCATTAAAAAGGAGAACTGCAGACCAATATTCCTGACGAACATATATGCAAAAATTCTCAACAAGATACTAGCAAATCAAATCGAACAGTACATTAAAAGAATTATTCACCACAATAAAGTGGGATTTATTCCTGGGCTGCAGGGGTGGTTCGATATCCACAAATTAATCATATGATCCTCTCAATAGATGAAGAGAAGGTATTTGACAAAATACAGCTGCTTGACAAAAACCCTCAAGAAAGTCAGGATTGAAGAAATATACCTCAACTTCATAAAGGCCACGTATGAAGAAGCCATAGCTAATATCATCCTCAATGGAGAACACCTGAAAGCTTTCACCATAAGGTTTTGAACAGGTCAAGTATGTCGACTCTGACCACTGTTGTTCAACATAGTACTGGAAGTCCTACCTCAGTAATCAGATAACAAAAAAGATGTAAAAGGCATCCAAATCAGTAAAAAGAAGTCAAACTTCCACTCTTCATAGATGATAGGATATTCGATGCAGAAAATCCAAAAAAGTACACCAAAAATTGCTAGAAATGATAAAAAAAATCAGCAAAGTTGCAGGATATAAAATCAATGTAATAAAGCTATTGCATTTCTGCACACCAATGATGAAACAGCAGAAAGATAAATAAAAGAAACAACCTATTTACAACTGCACCAAAAAACATAAGATACCTAGAAAAAAACCTGACCAAAAGGTGAAAGATCTGTATACTGAAAATTCTACAAAGGATATAAAAGAAATTTAAAAATACACAAAGGAATGGAAAAAATATGCCATGCCCATGGATTGGAAGACCAAATATTGTTAAAATTTCTATACATCCCAAAGCAATCTCCACATTTAATACAGTCCCTATCAAAATAACAATAGACTTTTTCACAGAGCTATAACAATTCTAAAATTTGTGTGAAACCAAAACAAACAAACAAACAAACAAAAACCAAATAGCCAAAGCCATGTTGAAAAGCAAAGCAAAGCAGGAGGCATCACAATCCCAGACTTGAAGTTATATTACAAAGCTATAATCATCAAGACAGTATGGTACTGGCACAAAAACAGATACATAGATCAATGGAAAAGAACAGAGAACCCAGAAGTGGACTTACAACTATGTGGTCAACTAATCTTCAAGAAAACAGGAAAGAATTTCCAACTGAAAAAAGACAGTCTTTCAGCAAGTTGTATTGGGAAAACTGGACGGCAACATCCAAAAGAATGAAACTGGACCACTTTCTGACACCATAAACAAATATAAGGTGAAAATGGATGAAAGATCTGAATGTGAGACAGGAAACCATCAAAATCCAAAGGAGAACACAGGCAACAACCTCTTTGACCTTGGTTGTAGCAACTTCTTACTAGAAACATCTCCAGAGGCAAGGAAAACAAAATAAAAAAATTCTTACTAGAAACATCTACAGAGGCAAGGGAAACAAAATAAAAAATGAACTAATGGGACTTCATCAAGATGGAAAACTCTTGCACAGTGAAGGAAACAATTCACAAAACTTAAAGGCAACCTACAGAATGGGTTAAGATATTTGCAAATACCATATCAGAAAAAAGGCCACTATTCAAAATCTATAAAGAACTTATCAAACTCAACACCCCAAAAATAAACAATGAATTTAAGAAATGATCAGAAGACATGAACAGACATTTCTCCAAAGAAGACATACAAATGGCTAATAGACACATGAAAACATGCTCAACATCATTGGGGAAACATAAATCAAAACCACAATGAGATATCAACTTACACCTGCTAGAATGGCTAAACTTAACAACTCAAGAAACAATAGATGCTCATGAGGGTGTGGAGAAAGGGGAACCCTCTTACATGTTGGTGGGAATGCAAACTGGTGCAGCCACTCCGGAAAACAGCATGGAGCTTCCACAAAAAGTTAAAAATAGGGGCACCTGGGAGGCTCAGTTGGTTAAGCGTCCAACTTCTGCTCAGGGCAAGATCTCATGGTTCATAGGTTTGATTCCCGCATCAGGCTCTGTGCTGACAGCTAGTTTAGAGCTTGCAGCCTGCTTCAGATTCTGTATCTCCCTCTCTCTCTGACCCTCCCCTGCTCATGCTCTCTCTCTCTCTCTCTCTCTCTCAAAAATAAATAAAACATTTAAAAAATTATAGAAAGAGCCCAAATGCTCATCGACTAATGAATGGATAAAGAAGATGTGATATATATATATATATATATATATATATATATATATATAAATGACATGGATCGACCTATGTATATTATGCTAGGCAAAATAAGTCAATCAGAGATAGATAAATACCATAGGATTTCACTTATATGTGGAATTTAAGAAACAAAACAGATGAACATAGAGGAAGGGGAGGAAAAGTAAAATAAGATAAAAACAGAGGGAGGCAAATCATAGGAGACTTTGAAATATAGAGAACACACTAAGGGCTTAGGGGTGTTGGCTAGGGAAATGAGCCAAATGGGTGATGGGCATTAAGGAGAGCACTTTTGATGAGCACTGGATGTTATATGTAAGCACTAAATCACTAAACTCTACTCCTGCAAACAATACTACATTATATGGTAACTAACTTGCATTAAAATAAAATCTTAGGAGAGAAGTGGGCACCAGTCTGGGAGCCCGCCCTCTTCCCCTGTCTAGGATCCGGAGTGATCTGCGACTCTTAATTGTTGCTCCAGGTTCTTTCAGGTCTCCATGTCTGTTGTCAGCACTTTGCAAGGCTAAAAAAGAGGAGGAATCTTCAGAATCTGTGCAGGACAGGAAAAGGAGGGGAAATCTCTACATGGAAAAACTGCAGTGAAAATGAAGGAATGTCTCAGAACCAAGGAGAGATGGAATACAAAACAGCCACAAGATACGGGTAAGCCAGAAGTAGCTTGTACTTTGGACGACAAGGAAAAGTTAGAAAATGAGAGAAAGAGAGAAGATGAGGAAATACTAAAGGATAAGGAAAAAACAGAGAGTATGACAAAGCCAAAAGACAGAAAGCCAGAGAGCGAGGGAAAGCCAAAAGAAGAAAAATCAGAGAGTAAACCAAGGGCTGCCGGAAAGCGCCCAGCTGGGGATGATGTACCCAGGAAAGCCAAAAGAAAAACCAACAAGGTGCTGGCTCAGTGCCTCAAGGAATATAAGGAGGCCATCCATGATATGCATTTGAGCAATGAGGAGATGATAAGAGAGTTTGATGATATGGCCAGGGTGGAGGATGAGGTGAAGAAAACCAGACAGAAATTGGGGGGTTTTATGTGGATGCAAAAAAGTTTACAGGACCCCTTCCACCTGAGGTGCCCAAGGGAACTCAGGGGTGGCTGCAGGGCCCCACAAAGAGGCTTTGAAGACATTCCTTTTCTGTAGTGCCCCTGGTAAGCCTTTGTCAGGCCATGTGCTTTAACCTTATGCTAACACTTGATTTAGCAATCACTATTACCCAACTGCAGCTCTCGATGTTTCAGTAGCAGATTTTTGTCCATTGCATGGAAAAATGTTTGTGGCACATTGTAAAATTAAAAAGAAAAAGTTTTATAAACCATAAAAAATAAAATAAAATAAAATAAAATCTTAGGAGAAAAAAATAAAAAAAATAAAAAAGACCCTAGTCTTCTCTGCCTCCTTGAAGGTAAATATTACCTTGAAGGTAAATATGCAGGACATATCAGAGGAATGCAAAAACTAAAGTGAAAACAGTGAACATAACTTATACCAGAAGCAGAACTAAGGTAGCAAAAATAAGAATATAACACAAACACTATGAATATCCTCAGAAAGATATAGAAAGGTTGAAAAATATAAGACAAATGGATTTTTTTTTAAATAGAGAGGGTGAAATTATAAATGCAATCAATGAATTAAAAATATCAATGTGTAGGTTGAATAGCAGGATAGAATAGCCTGAAGAAAAATAAATGAGGTGACCTATCAGGTCAAGGATTTTTTTCTAAAAGGAGATTTAAAAAAAGATAGATAATAGTCAACGATGTAAAGAACAGAAAAAAAAAAAGAAAGGTAAAAATTAATGAAGTGAAGAGCAAAAAATCTATAGGAATAATTAACAAAATCAGGAGTTTAGCAAAGAGAAATTACTGGCAAAACTGGGAAAAAAGGAGATTAGTAGGCCAAAGAATACAGAAATATAGAAAATATAGAAAAATAAGAAATAGCTATCAATCTGCTAAAATCTTACTTTATGAAAGAATAAAATATAAAATATTTATGAAAGAATAAAATAAACTATGTATTGCGCGTAAACACCCAGCTAAAAATAATAACTTTCTAGGAAAATATGTGATAAGTTATGAGAAAATAGGTAATGTACATAAACTATCAATCACAAAATAATTTGAAATGAAAAACAAGTCACTACCCAGATTTCTCACAAAATTTCTCCACAGTTATATATATATATTTACCAGCATTTTTGGAACAAATTATCTCTAAATTACATAAATTTTTCTTAAAAAATGAAAAGGAAGAGGCTATCTTTCCTTGAATCAAACAAGGTAAAAACAGTCCAAGAAAAGTAAATTACAGGTATATTTCACTTAGGAAAAGAGCCATAAAGATCCTAAATGTAATATAATTAAATTAATCCAACAGTGTATTGAAAATAATACATGATTATAATTTACTTCAAGAGTTATTTAATGTCAGAAAACCGATTAATGCAATTATTTAGTTAATGAACTAAAGGACAATACAATTACATTATCACTTAGAGTGGCATAGAAAGTAGTCAATAGTGTACAATACCTTTAACAACAAAAATAAAAGCTTTTTGAAATCTAAAAACAGCATTTCTCTTGACTAAAAAATGTTATTTATAAAATTCTATCACGAATGCCACACTTAGAGAATGAATTTTGATATATTTCTTGCGTGCTAAGATTCCATGAGGATGCTTCCAATCACTATCACTGTTCATGTGCTACCCAAGATTATAGCTAATTTAATAAGACACAAAAAGAAAGAAGTATAAACATGAAACAGAAAAAGCCTGACAGTTTGTGGTTGTGTTTTGTTTTATTTTGCAAATTATATGATCATTTACATCAAAAACCCTAAGGGAACACATTTAAAAAAAAAAAAAAGCTACTAGAATTTATAAGTGAACTCAGCAATTTTGTGAGATTATTACAGCTGAAACCAATTACACAGTTACTAGAAAATAAGATTCTATTTTCCATAAGGACAAAATATATGCTATCTAAGAATTAACCTAAAAATAAATGCACAAAGCCTTCATATACAAACTTTTAAATAGTGTTGAGGAAGTAAAAAGATATACCTTTTAAGAGTGATATGACTAAATACTATGAAAAAAACATTAATTCTCATTAAAGCTATTTTATAAAACCCAATTCAAGTCTACTCAAAATCCCCCAGAGTTTTTTTGAAACTTGAAAACTGATTTAACAACAACAACAAAAATCAAAGAACAAAAAAATTATGGAAGCAAACAGGTCTATAGAGAGCTAAAACTACTTTTGAAAATGATAAAAATTATCAAATTTTCCCTACCACATATTAGATCACAAAGTCATTGCACTTAAAAGAGTGTAGGACAGATGCAGAAAACCATGTAGTGCAATAGAACAGGATAGAATGCCCTGAAACATATTTGTTTTCATAAGGCTACTTGATGTAGAGATGGTATTAAAAACTAGAAGGGGTTATTTTGTAAATATTAAATTTGTAAAAGATGTTTGGTAGAAAATGACTCACTGCATGGAGAAAATTCTCTAACACCATGTTTAAGAAGAAGCTCCAAATCCTCACCTAAATGTGAAGTTACTAAAGGTTAAAACATGAGGGGGATGGGGCAAGCTGGGTGTCTCAGTTGGTTAAGCATCCACCATGCCAATCCAGGGCATGATCTCTGGATTTGTGAGTTCGAGCCCTGCATCTGGCTCTGTGTTGACAACTCAGAGCCTGGAGCCTGCTTCAGAGTCTGTGCCTCCCTCTCTCTCTGCCTCTCCCTTACTGTCACTCTGTCTCTCTCTTTCTCTTAAAAATAAATAAGTATTAAAAAATAAATTAAAAATGTTAAAAAAATTTAAAAGTATCTGAGAATGCTTTAGTGTCAATTAAAGGAAGTAATTAATATATCTGAGTGTAATTAAGGATTCTAGTGTGAAGATTCCAGGAACTGGAAAAGCTATTTTGCAACATTTTAAATCTAAAAAGGGAATGACTTGTATCTGTATTATATACAGAATCCTTCAAATTAGCAAAATAAAGACTATGTCAATATGGAATGAGCAAAAATGAATAATCCATAAAAAGAGAAGCTAAAAAGGGTAAAGAAAAATACAGAGATATGACATACCTCACTTAAGAAAAAAATTGCAATGTTTAATGCCAATGAAATATTTCTATCAAAAAGTAAATGACAAATGCCAATTATTTGTGAGGGTTGGGGAAACAGAAACCATGATAAACTGGATAGGGGCGCCTGGGTGGATAGTCAGTGCAGTGTCAGATTTTGTTGTAGGTCGTGATCTTGTGGCTTCTGAGTTTGCCCTGTGTCACACTCTCTGCTCCCAGTCCAGAGCCTGCTTTGGATCCTCTGTCTCCCTCCCTCTCTGCCCCTCTTCCACACACATGTGCATGCATATGCTTGCTCGCTCTCTCTCAAAAATAAGATAAACATTAAAAAAACTGGTGAAGCTATTCTGAAGAAGAAGATTTTTCACATATATCCTGTATTAAGCAATTCTAGCACTGGGGTATATGCACCCAGACAGGTGTCTTGGAGAACACTGGAGGACTGTAAAGGGAGGAGATTAAATATTATGCTGGACATAGGCATGAACCACAGATGCCTCAGGTGACTTAACAGACTGCCTGGCCATGCCACATATAAAAACTGTTCATAATTCATGATAACAAATGTTTACTTCCAAATGTATTGGATTCATGCTTGGTGTTCATCACTAGAGAGATCTATAAATTATATGTGGTATATGCATAGGCATACAATGGAATTATATCCAGGAGAAACATGGCCCAATGACTGAACTAAAAACTAAAATGCAGAATAAAAAAATTGAAGTTATTGAAACTATTAAACTTATAAGTTATTTCTGTCTCAGAGAGTTAACTTTATAACAGTATCATTCAGGTACATTAAAAAATAAATGTGCCCACATGAATACTATAGTTTCAAAAATATATATGCAAATACATTAACAATTCATGGTATATGAAAAGAATATATAGTGTAGAAATTAGAGCAGATATCTATGCAGGGAGGGTAATGTAATCAGGATATGAAAACAAGAGGAAACAATAAAAAAAAATTAAATAACCAAAGGGTATTGCCTGAGTAAGATGGTGAAATCTCTAAGGACATGGTGTTTTGCGAATTATCTTTACTGATGCCATCTAGATGCCTAAGGGAGTACCTGAAACATAGTAAGTGCTCAATAAATACAATTGAATAAGGACTATAATAAAAGAAGTTTTGTGTGCCATAGATGCTACAAAAGAGTAATTAAAATAAATACTTTGGTTTCTTCATTTTATTGTATTAATTTTAATGTACAGTCATAAAAATTAGCATACCAAAACATAATTGTGGGGACTAGTCTACTATTGAACTGTCCATTTTTGTGCTAATATCAATTGTTTTAATTACTCAGGCTTACAATGTTTTGTATCTAACACTTACTAAATTTTCTCATTAAGTCTAAAAGTTTTTCAGCAAATTCTCTTGGGTTTTCTTGGTGTATAATCACATTGTCTACAAATAATGGAAATTTTGTCTATTAATTATTTCATTGTCTTGTGGTTTTGTCAGAATATAAATTGTGATAGTAGGTTTTCTTGGTTGATAATAAATTATTACTAGTTTTTTACATCTTAATTATGGTTTTAACTTTGGTTTAGCAGATCTGAAACATCCCAAAGAAGTATACTATTCCCAAATTATGAGTATTTTTTTTTTTTTAAACTAGAAACTACTTCCAGGGTTTCATGGCTAGCTGAGTAGGCAGAACATGTGACTCTTGGTTTTGGTTGTAAGTTGGAGCTCCATGTTGGGTGTAGAGATTGCCTAAATATAAAGTCAGGAAGAAAATAAAGAAAGGAAGGAAGGAAGGAAGGAAGGAAGGAAGGAAGGAAGGAAGGAAGGAAGGATGGAAGGAAGGAAGGAAGGAAGGAAGAAAGAAAAAAAGAGAAAGGAAGGAAAGGAAGAATCAAGTTCTACTTGTTTTACATTTTTTTTTTGTTTTAGAGGCCTTTTTAAAATTTTTATTTTATTTTTTTTACATTTCATTCCTCCTACTTTCTAATGCCTTTCTGACGAGATTCATGTTCATAATTTAAAACATCTTACAATAATCACTATGGAACATGTG